CAGACAGGAATTGTGGTTGAGGAAATCCAAATTTCCATTTGGTATCAGAAACTTGAACAGGCATGAGATTGAATGAGCTGGAGCCTAGGAAGAGAGTCTCAGAGAGAGGTGTTTGCTTAGCTCAGTGCTAGAGCTCAGAATTTCCTTATATAGCACTCAACGCAATGACCGGAAGTTTCTGTGAATTTCTCAGCAGTACTAATATCCAACACCACTAGATGGCGTGAGCGCATGCCTGTAGAACACTCAAGGGCAGTTATAAACTTTAACCACTAGATGGCAGAATTCTGTGCCACACGCAATGTTTTGTGAGGCTGCAGCAAGATTTGCATGAGACGTAACAGTATCTGTAACTTTTTGGGGGATTCTTTTCGCCTTAACAGATTTTCTTTTCTTTCTAAAAGAATTTAGGCCTCTATGTCCGGTATCCAGAACTGAATTCCCCTCCTGTAGTATTTCTATATCTTGTCAAAAGACCTCTTAGTGGAAATGTATAGAACGTGTGTATCTTTATTATCCTTGGAACTAAAAAGTAACATTTTTAGAATGTTTTCATTTTTTTTGTCTGGTATATATGAAATATTGCATACAAATGATTTTTATTGAACAGCTGGTGATCTTGGCATCCTTTCTCGTGTTTACCAGGCTAATCCTAACTGCTTTATTGAAAAAAAAAAAAAAGACTTTCAAATTCTCTTTAGCTTAAGCAATAAATACACTGGAGATTCCTATACTCGTAAGCGCCAGCTAGGGGTGCTACTGCTGTGCGAACGTTTTGAATGAAGCCCAAGAGAATAGCTTTTTCCTCATTTGTTTATGTTGCTGTCTCAGCCTTTTTTGCCTTATTTGAACTGTTTGTATGTCATTTTTTTCTTGTTTGAACTGCACAGAAAAAATACACTTTTTTTTAAACCAATTCCTGCCGGCCTCCCACATACACCGATCAGCCATAACATTATGATCACCCCCCTAATATTGAGTAGGCCCAGTGTTGTCACAAGGGGGGGTGCGGCCCGCACCTGGGTGCCACCATTGCAGGGGTGACACCAAAATGACTGACGGTCATTTTGGTGTCACCCCATCTCTAAAAAGTCAGGCACTCTGTCATGGACCGAGAGCCCGACAGTGTCAGGAGAGAGGAGGGGGCCCAGCGACATACCTCATCCTGCCAGGTGAAGGTCCCCTCCCCTCTCTGCAGGCATCTTTGGAAGTGCGCGATGACGACACGGCGGGCGTCACCCGGTCTAGAGACCGGGTGACACCCAACCTCAGGACGCCCCTGAGTAGGCCCCCCTATTGCCACCAAAACAGCCCTGTCCAAACCGTCCGGAGCAGATCTTTTAAGTCCTGTAAGTTGCGAGGTGGGACTCCAGGGATCAGACTTGTTTTCCCAGCACATCCCACAGATGCTCCATTGGATTGAGATCTTGAAAATGTGGAGGCCAAGTCACCTCAAACTTGTTGTTGTGTTCCTCAAACCTTTTTTTAACCATTTTTGCAGTGTGGCAGGGTGCATTATCACTGCCATCAGGGAATACCATTTTCATGAAGGGGTATACTTGGTCAGCAACGTTAGATACGCATCAAAGTAACATCCACATGAATGGCAGGACCCAAACTTTCCCAGCAGGACATTGCCCAAAGTATTAAACTGTCTCTGCCAGCTTGCCTTCTTTCCATAGTGTATCCTGATACCATTTCTTCCCCAGGTAAGTGACACACATACACCCAACCATCTACATGATGTGAAAGAAAATGTGATCCATCAGACCAGGCCACTTTCTTCCATTGTTCCGTGAGCCAGCTTGCTCTTAGACCGGTCCTTCCAGCCTCATTCTCTCCATCCACTGCAGCAGTCTAAGGAGTTATCATATCCAATACATAGTATATAGGACATAAGGAGGCCGAGGGACATCACTGCAGCTTAGGAGGAAAGCTTTGCTGGCTCCGAGGATCGGACGAGTATAACTTTTCTTTTACCTTAGGCAAAAATGAACAGTTAAACCTTGCAGTGTGGGGGGTAGACCCATTGCAAGGGTTAAGAATCCCCCCCCCCCCCCCGGCGCGCTCTACTTCGTCTGGGTC